GCTCTTTAATTTTTTGTAGGTAGCACTTTTTCTGGAACTTTGTCCATACCCAGAGCCTTCGAAAGGAAATGGCTGGGTTGTAGCCTGCTGTCCTAGCTAACTCCTTTTCCTACCCTCATCTGAGGGCACACAGCCATGTTTGAAATCTGTCTGTCAAATTCACAAGTCTCTCCTTGAATCAGCCCACACTGTATCCCCTGTAGAAGCCTCTGTTCCCCTTTGCACTGTTGATTGTAGCTGCTGCAACCATTAAGTTCCCATTTTCCCCAGTCTCTGTAAAAGAAGTACTTACTTGGCATGCCTGAGGTTGATGGTATTGAGGTAAAAACGTGAAGTCTATACCCGCATTGCACTTAATAAAATATGTAATATCTACACAATGCTTATTGAAGAGATGCTAAGTCAGTGAGGTTTTGGCACGCTGTGTAAATGCTTCTTGTGCACATTACTCTGCAGCTAATGTTTACAAAAATGGGACAATTACTTTTTATTTTTCTCAGCTATACTGACTTTTTCAGAACTTGAACACAGTTTTGTTTATTTCTTATCTTAGTTTTGCTAAAAATATTGGTGGTGACAGAAGGTCAACGTGGAGGATCCTTTTCAGTTGTCAAATAATCTGAAGTTTGATTGATATTTGCAAAATTTTAATTTTAATTTTGTCAGCTTCTAGAACTCATTATGGCATTCATTTCAAAAAAGACTCATTCACAATACTGTAGTGGAAGGTATGAATGAATGGAGTCATGCCTTAATCATGGAAAATGGTTCAATCTTAAAAAGTCTATGCTGGGACCTGGACATTGAGTGTACCATGTTAGTGTGCATTACTGGAGTAATGGAAGTACAGCGCTGTTTTCTCTCTCTGGTTCTGAAATCATATTATTATCATTGATACCAGAAGGAATGGAGGTTAGATCTTGGCTTAAATCTTATATATTTAAAGGTTTTTTGTTCCCATATGTATCTACTAATTGGGAAACAAACTGGGGAGAAAAAATCCTTTGAAATAAATCAGATTCCTAGTGGAATAAGAAAACTCCCTCTAGTGCATTTTTATTCTGGCACGCATCTTTTGAGATTTCTTTAAAGATTGTTAAGAAATTTTGTCTTACATCAGGAATAAGAAAACACCCTCTAGTGCATTTTTATGGTTCTGTTTCTGGCATGCATCTTTTGAGATTTCTTTAAAGATTGTTAAGAAATTTTGTCTTACATCAACAAACAACTTTCAGAGCTTGATCAAAGCTTTAATAAAAGGTATCTTGCACAGAAGATTGGAGGAAAAGGGGCAAAAGAGGTTGTAGGGAGGGAAGTGCAGGGCTGCTTTCTAATTTGCTTTTACTTTCTAAGAGCAACAAAATTAAAGTCACATTTCAAGCTTGTAAACAATTGCGTTTACAAGATAAATGCTTGTATAGGGCGTGCGTGTGTATAAAGATGTGTACTGAGACCTGTAATCAGCAACTTCATTTGTACTTGCAGGGTTGTGTTTATTAATGTTACACGGTCATTAAGTTGCCCTTTCTCAGACTGCCCCGGCCTGTTGGCTAGCACTCAGTAAATGGTGAAGGACAAAATTCTAAGGAAACTCCTACAGGTTGAGATAGTGCTACAGGAAGCCCCTCCCAGCAACATTAGAAAGGTCTGGAAAATGTACAGTAGACCAAGTGTTTTGCTGAAGTTTTAAATGCTAGCAAAAAGCTTTCCAAGTTTTTCCTGGCAGTAAAGCTCCTGGACTCACCTGCTATTTTTTTTATTTTTGTTTCCCCTTAGGGGGTGTACAGCGAACAGTAAGCAGGAATACCTCTGTGGAGTTCAGCTGAGCTACCAGCAAAATTCCTGTCTGAGAGCATATTGCATTATGGGCTCAGCAGAGCAGTAATGTACTCACAACTCACTTTTTTAGATGCAGTGACACCACTATGGTCTTTGTCCACAATACTCTGTGGTGGGGAGAGTATTGTGGACAAAGGGTGCATGTGTATGTGTCTGTCTGGAAGTCCGTGCCCCGAGGATGGAGGGAGCAAGTTTTACACGATGCACCTTCAGGACTGAAGGGAAAGGAAATACAGGATGCACATCTGGAACTGCTATACTAATGAGAGAATTAAGAGAGCACAAAGCACGGAGCATACACATAAAACAGAAGGACAGGCCTTTTTTAGCTCGAAGTCTAAGTTAAAAAACACATATTAGTAATTCATTACACACCCAGAATGTCTAAGATATTGATTATTCACAGTGCCCAGGAGTGATGAAGGAATGCCACTTCTGATCCAAAGCAGTGTAGATTAGCCGTATTAGCTTGGAGTGTTGCTCAGCAGGGGAAGGGGGAAAAATCATGGAGTATGAAAGGCTTTTTTATGCTTAAGTAGAAGTGGAAACTAATGAAGACGGTAGAACTAACGAAGACCCTACAGAAATTCCAAGGTGTTTTTAAGTGATAACTGACTAAAAATGTATGTTTTCCAAATATGCTGTGTCTTACAGAAGGTACTCATTCCCACAGGACTAAAAATTGTTTCAAGCAGATGTAAATAATTTTAACTTTTTGCTTTTGATTTTAGTTCTGTTTTGTGGAATAGAAACAAGTGTTTCTTCTGTGGTTTTTTATTTATATCATTTTGTTTTCCTTTTTGTTCTGGTTTGTGTAAAATGAACAACCAACAGTCAACCAAGGCAAAGGCCCAAAGCAAATGAAAAAGTAAAACGAGAGGAATTGACAATATCAAATACATGTAATAGAAGATACATCCAGCACTTGGAAAAAAATGTATATTCATTTATATTAGAAACATTCTTGTATTAAAAGCTCAAAAAAGGAGCAAAAAGTAAAGACTTTGCCACATATTCTGCACATGTTTAGCTTCAGGCACTGTCACTGGTTTTGGTGATAATGTGAAGGAGGTCAAACATATGGTAAGTCCTTGCAAAAATTAATCTCAGAGACTGTTGCCTAAGAGGCCTGTGGAGTCAGTGCTTGTCTGCAGGAGCCTGGCTGCTGCTGGTTGGATTTTTCTCTCCAGCTGTAAATCTCATTTTAAAAATACCATCATATACCAGATGCTTACCAAATAACACTCTTCGACGCAATTATTTGCAAAAGCTGCCAGGGGGATATTAGGAGGTCTCAAAGGGAGCAGGGTGTCTGCAAAACCCACTCAGCATGAAGATACTATTCTTGCTCATAAATACACAAATCCCTGTGTTAGGACCACATAGCCATAGCATGGACTCAGAAGCCTTGGGGAAAATGTTCTTTCCTTTCATTTGCTGAAACAGTGAATTTCTAAGTAAAACAAGATGCAGAAGAGGAAGAGGGAAGGAGCTGGGTAGTATAGGTTTTTCCTCCATGGTGTGTGATGATTTTGATGTCTCTGCAACTCAAGTAGGTGATCTTGAGCAAGTCATTGAACTTTGTGTCTTTTGTTTCTTCTGCTAAATATTTGTGCTTCTTTTGCTTGCAGACACACTGTGAAAATACAGGCCTGTGGTTGCTATTGTTGTAGGTAGCGAGATCAGAGCAGGCCTGTGCTGGACTAAGTAAAAGCTTCATGGGGAAGTTTATGTGTAACAATCAAATTCACCAAAATGTACTTAATTTAAAAACTCTGCCCAATCCAGGTGTGGACGTGTTTGTTGAATGCATTTCTGGCTGTATCTTGCTTGGCCCTTATCTGTGCTGTCACAGTCACCCAGCTGCAGAGTCAGTGTTACTTAAGGGGTGGCCTTTCTACACTTCCCTGAAAGGCCTGAAACACTGATGTGACAGCAGGAGATGTGATGTGGAGAAAAGCTTAGTCCTGCAAAAACATTGTCTGCCAGTAAAACTTGTTATTCTGCTGGTCACTAAGTTGTGGTTACTGTATTCATTTCTGCTTTCCTTTACAAAGAATTTCTGTTGAGATCAGTACCGAGGTGGAGGGAGTGGGCTCAGCAGCAGCACGCATCTCTCACACGCTGGTTGTGTCTTGTGTAGCCTACTGCTAAAATATCCTCAGAGCCTCTAAATGTACTGCCCATGGCATTTGCTTGACTATCAAAGTTATATTTTAGTTGTCTTCCAGTCTTTTACTTGGTTTCCATGGAGAAACTGGGAGGACGAGTGGAAAATGCTTGTAGGCAATGTCAGCACACGGGGAAAACAGTTGAAATAACCTTACAGCAAAGATTACCTTTCTTAGTAGCAAAAAAAAAATCTCAATTCTTTGTGCCTGATTTTGGTAACTAAAATGAACTAAAGAAGGTGAAGAAGTAGCAAAATTTTTTGGCGAGTTGAGGTGACTGGTTCCAGTGTGACAAATAGCCCTAGCAATAAGTATGTAAATATTGTATAAAATATTGTATAATAATTCTCCAACTGAACTTCACTTTAGTCCATTGGAAAGGAGTATTTTCTGTGTGCACATGAGGAACTAGTCACTGGGCTCTTGAATGAAATCCTGAGTTTCAGTTTCCATGACTGAGAAATTAACTTCTCTGATGACACATTGAAAATAATTGTATGGCATTGAGCTTTTCCCATCTGCCCAGATCTGGTGAAGGAAGCAGAGCTTCCTTCACTTGTGAGCTCTTTTTTGGCCTCCTGCTGAATGGCTGAAGGAGCTGAGAGATGAAGGACCATAGCATTCTCTGCCCCTAAGAGCTCACAGCTTTGTCAAGGTTATGAACAGTTACCTTCTGCCAGAAAAAAAAGCCTGTGACTCAAACATAATAGTTCAATTCCATGTTTAATTAAGAGTATAAAGAATAAAAATCCTTGGATTTTAAAAAATCCTTCCACTGCTGTCTCCTCTTCAGGACTCAGCGCTACATCATCTCCTTTGCTCACATGGCTTTTGAAATACATTTTCTCACTCTGACTGGTAGAAGTGACTGCTTAACCCCCAACAAACCCCGAAGCCCATCGTACTCCATTAGCAAACGGGCTAGCTGTGCTATGCAGAGAGCTCTGTCTTTGTCCAGCGCTCACTGAAATTGTGTGTTCTATCTTCCAGATTCCGACCTGAGCATGCGAACGCTCAGCACGCCCAGTCCAGCATTAATATTTCCACCGAATTCCCCTGGGTTCCAAAATGGCAGAGGTTCATCGACATCCTCATCCTCAGTCACTGGGGAAACCGTTGCCATGGTCCATTCGCCGCCTCCCACCCGTCTCACCCATCCTCTCATCCGGCTGGCATCCAAGCACCAGAAGGAGCAGGCCAACATAGACCGGCTGCCCGATCACGCCATGATCCAGATCTTCTCCTTCCTGCCCACCAACCAGCTGTGCCGCTGTGCCCGCGTGTGCCGCCGCTGGTACAACCTGGCCTGGGACCCGCGGCTTTGGAGGACAATTCGCCTGACTGGCGAGACAATCAACGTAGACAGGGCTCTCAAAGTGCTGACCCGGAGGCTTTGTCAGGATACTCCCAACGTATGTCTCATGTTGGAGACGGTAATTGTTAGTGGCTGCAGGCGGCTCACAGACAGAGGACTCTACACCATTGCCCAGTGCTGTCCAGAACTGCGGAGGCTGGAGGTGTCTGGCTGTTACAACATCTCCAATGAGGCAGTCTTTGATGTCGTGTCACTGTGCCCAAACCTGGAACACCTGGATGTGTCAGGTAACAGGGAATGTTCCAATACAGATGCTTTTGATGTTTGTCAAACTCCATAGCTGCACACACTTATCCTTTCTGTGTTGTCTTTCAATGTAGGAATGCCTGTCTCCTAGCAGAGCACCTGTGAGACATGCACCACTAAAATCTCAGTGCCCCAAATGCCAGCAACACCTCTGGAGTGGCCAGGCCTCTTCCAAAGGAAGTGAGCTAGCAGAGGTGGCCTGTTCACATGGCACAAGGAGTTATTACAGATTTTGGCACAAAGCACCCATAGAAGGGAACACACTGAGGTCAGTGCTATGTCATGTGGTGAAGACTAGTTACCTCAGCAAAATTTATCTTCTTCACACACATGTATATGTAGATTATATATAGGTAATGAACACATCTGTAATCCAGTAAGTGACTTGAGGAGGAGCTCAGAATAAGTGCTAGGCTTTTTTTCTGTGTATTAATATCTGTTGTCATCCCTAGCTAAACTCCAAGGTCCCCTTGTTTCCATTGCTATTTTGACAAGACTTAGTCCACTTGAACTTTTTTTCTCTTTTCTTCCCTTTTTTTTTTTTTTTTTTTTTAAGCTGTTTAGATCAGCAGAAATATTTTAGACAATTTTCCTCAAACCTGCTCTGGGGAAACAAGATGTTTTTTCCCAAGGTCAGCTGCACAGAATTTCTTCTCTGCAAATAGGTTGGCACTTAATGGAAAGGATGCAGCCAAGCAGAGCACTGAAGTAAATTTGCTGCTCAACATTTACTTTGTGATCTCATCTGTTATCAATCTAATGCCATCATAAATCAGCCAAACCAGATTTGCCATTGCAGAGGTACCAGTGGCAATGAGAAAGATGAAGACAGGAGATTAAACAACAGGGCATAGAAAGTGATCCTATTGGGTCACTGGTACTGGATGCTTTTTCCAAAGCTACCTATCTGGAGTACACTGATTTGCATTCTTTTCTCTGCCTTTTTATTTTTTTTAAGCTGATTTACCCAACTCTCTCACCTCATTCCTAGGATGGCAGAATGTCATGGAAGGCAGCAAAACAAATATCAATAAATCAGAATTATGCCCTTTTTGTGATTGCTTTCTGAAACCACAAGGCAATAAGGAGTCTATGGAACTCCACAGGAGTCTATTCACAGTGACCTTGTATATGAATTGTTGTTGGTACACACTGGCATTAGTTCTGGATTGCTAATCACACATTCAGGTTGAAGGATCTCCAGTGTCAGGAAAAAATGTAGGTACCTGTTTGATTTAGACCTAGAGCTTTGAAGCTCACACCCTGAGTGTACCTGGGGGCTTGTAGGGGGTTGAAAATGCTTTGGTCCACAGCTCTTATTTATGGATGTGCTGTAGAACAAAGGTGACTTTTTCAAAGGCAGGGAAAAGGAAAAGATGATACCAGGTCTTGCAGTGGGTTCTTTTGGGGTCTGTCTTCATTTGTGGTTTTCCCAGCCCTCTTACTCTCGGACCCAGAAGGTAGTGTCTGTCCCTAAGAGCTCATCAGTTTGGTATAAAGTGTTCAGGGGTCGAATAAAATTCCTGTCTTCCTTCAATTTTGTCTCATCAAAGAGATAGGAAGGTAATTTTAATTTTGTTTTTTCCTAAGTTGTTCTTTCTATTTGGAGCATTTGAGGGGAAAATCCTGCTTTTGAACATGCTCAGAAGTCAGGGTGTTTGGGTTCAGATACAGCTTTTGCTGCATGTACCGTATGAATTGAGGATAATCAGTCTCCAAGCCCTTGTTTTGAGTCCACTTTTTTCCATTGTAATGTGGGTAATTTTGGAGGATGTTTTGGAAAGAGGATTCCATTTTCCCATTCTTCTCTCTGTAGTTTGAGGACAAGGCTTGCACCTACATGTTTAAGGAATTCTCAGGACTGAAGTGTTCCACTGGTTTGGTTCCATACTGAGCAAGAGGACGTGGTGGTGTGTGTTGAGGGTGATGCTAGTTGCTAGTTAATTAAATCCCAGTTCACAGTTGTACATCTAGTTGAATCCTTTTCCCCTTTGAATGGCTACTTGGCAGCAAAAACTTACCAAAATCTTTAATGTCAAAACCAGATGTTTGTATTAACTTTAGGAGCTTTCCACAATGTAAGTTCTGTCACTGTCAGCATCCGCTTTGTGGGCAGGTCTGAGATATTGCTAGAAGTTGGTTGAGCTTGACTGCAAGTTATTATCTAACACTCCAGCCAATATGTTTTTCCGTCTGTTTGGACGTTTCTTCTCCCTTTTTAGAAATCAGTTATACTGTATGGAAAATCCTGTCACCAGAGCTTTATTTTTACGCTTTGCATTATTTAGGACAGAAAAATTGTTGCGGACCCAGGAACCTGACATTTTGCCTAAAAATCAGTCAGTTCTTTATCAGCATGGACTCGTTTTTCTGATGAAACCGTTTTGAATATCCTTCCCATGAAATGTTTTACAGTGTAGCCAAAGTAACTAGACATGGCAGCGCTGAGCTTGACAGAACCGTGATCACACAACTGATGTATGTGACTCCAGCCCTGCTGAGAGACTTCTGACCCGTTCACTTTCTAATTATGGTCATTAAACCTTCTTGGACTCTCAGCAGACAGAATGTTCTCCTTGGCCTCGTGGATGCATCATTCTCATTAAGCTGGATTTAAATTTGAATTCTGGTCAGAATATAAAATATCCAGACTGACTTCTTAATCCAGCAGCCTCCTCAGCCAAATGCAACAGCAGCAGCTACATCAGGTGCAGCAGAACTCTGCCTAGGCGTCAGCTTCTTCCTTTCATGCATTTTGTATCACCTACTTCAAAGAATATACTAGAGGTGAATTTTTTACGCCATTAGTTTTGTTCTGCTTCCCTTTAAAACAATCCTTTGTGTTACTGAGTGTGTATATAGTACTTACCTGAAGGCAAAAGTGTTTCCAGAGATTGCTCCAGAGTGATGGATCTGAAACACTCTGAAGAGAAAACAGCAGTTTTAAAATGTTTGTTGAACAGAGTGTTTTACTTCAAGGTCTTTCTTCTGCATGATCTGTGCGCAATTTGCCCATTTAATTGTGTGAGGTCTAAAGTAAACTTTGCATCTGTTCAACTAAATTTGAAATCCAAATTAAAGATCCAGCATAAATTTTAATGATTAATGTGGAAATCTAGTTGCAGGTGGCAAAATGTTTCAAGTCCATATCCCACATTTCTTGCAGCCTTTGTATGAGTCCACATGGTTATCTCAAGTGATATTTTTCCTTTTTGCTTTTAAGAACTGAAGCATACTCATACCTTCCACTAAGCCTCTGAATGACAACCTCTAATAGCAAGTGGTATAGCTTTGCGTCATGTAAGTTTTTGAGGCAGTCTCCATACATGATCATGTTCTTTAATTCCACACTACAGTATTTTGCAGAGTTTCTGATACATGGAGCTCTAAGGTCATCACTTTTTACGAGTCACTTCATACTGCTTGGCCAGTGTTCCAGCAATAAAGAAAAGGTGTTTTTATTTCTACCTGGGGGCACCTCTTTGAGCATAACCTGCAGAAATTCTCTGGGTAGCCATTTATGGCTAAAACTGTTGGGCCTTAATCACTAGTGGGTAGACTCTCATTTCTTGCAGCTGTTTCTAGCTATGCTAATGCAAAGTGCCCAGCTAAATTTGGCACAGTTTAAGAATTTCCCTAAGAAGCCGAAGACTGCCAGTTTGCAGTGCAGCAGAAACCACACTTTCCAAAAAAAGCTTTCACTCTCCACTATGCAATGAGTTGAGGTTAAAAATGGGGAATGTCTGTGTGTATTTTTCCCTTTAATCTAGTTCTTTGTCTTTCCTTGCAAGGTCTGGTGTTTCTCCTCCAGTCTAGTTACCTCCATTCATGGCCAGACTTTCTCATTGGACACAATCCTTTTCTTTGTCTGTCCGTGTCCTCGCATGCCCTTATTAGTCTGTTGGCTCCTACCAGTTCTCTCCATTCTCTTTAGCTTATCCAAATCTCCACCCTTCTGCAAGCACACAGTTGGGCCATAGTTTTGCATCCTTCCCGCATTGCAGGCTTGGGGCTGGATTCACATCTGTTCTCCAAATGCTTGGGGCAGGGGAGGAGGGAAAAGGGAGCGGGGTTGTGTTTTCTATAATGAGTTTGGATGGTGAAAGAACCTCTGATGTTGGTTTGCAAATTCAGCCAGTCAGCAACGAGACTGATGAAAAAACTGCATTGGTTGTCATGTAGTATCCTTTTCTCTGACTGTCACTGGGTTTATATTGCAGTAACAGATCATAGGCTGTCCCCAGATAGACCCAGGAGCACTGTTTTACATGTGGGATATGGACAAAATCAGTCCGATGCTTTCCAGGGCTCACAATCTCAAAGTAACCTCACTGACTCCAGTTTATTGTGTTTATTGTCCTCTGGTGTGGGGACTCAGCCCAGCAAATCAGAGCAGTCAGTCAGGGTGATTCCACTCTTGCAACATGAGGATACCTGCATCATGTCCAGCACACCCCTCCACACCCGCCTTTCTGGTCCTGCTGTGCGCTTTGTTTTTACTGCTTGCTTAAACTCATTGTGTTTTTCCACTTAGGCTGCTCCAAAGTAACGTGCATCAGTCTGACTCGCGAAGCCTCCATCAAGCTGTCTCCCTTGCACGGGAAGCAAATCTCCATCCGCTACTTGGACATGACAGACTGCTTCGTCCTGGAGGACGAAGGACTGCACACCATTGCCGCCCACTGCACTCAGCTGACCCACCTGTACCTGCGCCGCTGCGTCCGCATCACCGACGAGGGTCTGCGCTACCTGATGATTTACTGCACATCCATCAAGGAACTGAGCGTGAGCGACTGCCGCTTCGTCAGCGACTTCGGCATGCGGGAGATCGCCAAGCTGGAGTCGCGGCTCCGATACCTGAGCATCGCTCACTGCGGCCGCATCACGGACGTGGGCATCCGATACATAGCCAAATACTGCAGCAAGCTGCGCTACCTCAACGCGCGGGGCTGCGAGGGCATCACGGACCACGGCGTGGAGTACCTCGCCAAGAATTGCACAAAACTCAAATCGCTGGACATCGGCAAGTGCCCTCTGGTCTCAGACACCGGCCTGGAGTTTCTAGCCCTCAACTGCTTCAACCTAAAGCGCCTGAGCCTGAAATCCTGCGAGAGCATCACTGGGCAGGGCCTGCAGATTGTAGCTGCCAACTGTTTTGACCTGCAGATGTTGAATGTGCAGGACTGTGAAGTCTCTGTGGATGCTCTGCGATTCGTTAAACGACATTGCAAGCGCTGTATTATAGAGCACACCAACCCTGCTTTCTTCTGAAGGGACACCCCACACCTGTCATTGCAATGCAGTTTTAAAAACACTGATGTATAAACACACGCTCCCATATTCAGTAATGCTGTCTTTTCTGTCGCTCACGGGAGTCAGTTTTTCTTGTACCTTATGGGTGAGGGGTTTTCTAGAAGACTATTTTGTTTGCTTTTTGTATGATCACTTTTTAAGGTGCCGTGGGTCTCTGTGGAGAGGCCACCTTAATGCAAAAGCAATGAGTGCTCAGCATCCCCGGTGGGGTGTCATTTCCATAAGAGCCATGATCTTGTCCCAGGCTACGGTAGCTGCCTCCAAAGGAAATAGCACATAATCCCTCCTTTGGAAATGCTACTAAGCTGTGTCAAATACATCTGAATTCTAGCTGTGCTCATGAAGCTGACTATGCAATATTGTGTCTGTGTTCCCCAACTTTTTCCAATGTGGCTGATAGTCATCCATTGTAATCCCTCAGGAGATACTGGGTAATGTTCTTAAACATACTCATTTGAAGCAGAGTAAGACCTGCTGGCCGTTGCTGAGCACTTCTGCTGAGTGATTCTGGAGATTGTGCCCATGCATGGATTCTCTTGGGAAGCCCACCTCCGGGTCACTTATGCATCATCGCTACTTGCCTTCATTTCTAAATTTGTCCTCTCCAGCATGTGTAGAACCATCCTCTGGTAGTAGATAGGGACTTCTGGCTCTGATAAGCAGTGATGTATTCACCTGAGTGAAGGAGAACAAATGAGATATTGGTGGCCTGGCAAAAGGAAAAGCCAGCAAACCAGCCTGAGAAGCTGCTGTAATTCTACAACAAGCTGAGATAGTCCTGTAGGACAGCAGAGAGGCTCTGAGGCATTGTGGAGCAGCTTGCACGGGGCAGTCCCAATTGCTGTGCTGCGTGGCTGTCACCAGAAAGTCTGGCTTTGTCCCTTTGCTGTACCTTTTCAGCACCACTGCAGTGGATGTTCCCTGAGCAAAGCAGGGACTTGCGTTTAGATCAAGTTAGTACGTGCCTTAACACACTTGGACACCTGACCCTTCTCTGTGGCCTTCCAGTTCAAAGGATAGATGGCTGATCTCAAGACTTCAGAGACATTAGCCTGGTTTTAGATAACACCCCTGGGGACAGAGGGCCTTGAAGTGTTATTCACATTAGATTTAGATTCTTTCAGACTTTGGCTCTGTGTGTTCCCATAGGCTGGAGATACAGCTGTGTTCAACAAAGAATTAAACAGCAGAGTTGCCCTGTGACACTGGGAGCTCCTGGTACTCTCAAGGTCACTCTTGCTCTTGCATGAGCAGGACGATTTTGGAAGTCCCCCATCTCATTGGCTCCTTCCCCAGAGCATGTGGTTGATTGGTGGTTACTTTCTTCACAATTTTCTGGCAGCTGTTCCTCTGCATTTTCATGTGCAATGCTCAGATCTGAAAGCCAGACACGTGAAGGGTGATGATATTTTCAGGCAGGCCCCCTGTGCCTGACTGACAGGTGAATTCATGTGCTCAGCCCAAACACTGTGTCTCATAAGGGAAGCGCTGTGTCTGGTTTTCATAAGCAGTAGTTCCATCATCTCCAGACAACACTAATAAAATCAGTGTTATGAAGTGAAAATCAATATGCCCAAGAAAAACACATAACTGCTGAGGAAATACTTATAACAATGCTCTCTCAAATTTAAAAAAAAAATAAAAATAAAAAAAAAGGGCAATGGTTTGGACATGTCCCTGGAGAGGGAACTTGTTCTACTGCTGCAAAAATTTCTGTAACTTATGTATCTTCCTCCAATTCTCCAATTTTGGATTTTTTAATATACAGGATGGCATCAGCTCTGAATTATAAATTAAGTTATACTAAAGCAAAGAGGGCCATGGAAAATGAATTTGTCATTGCTACTGCTACTGGTCAGTGACTAATACGAGGTGATCCCATCCCTTGGACAGTTAATTTCATTTTGGTTTTCTTTTCCATATTTCTAAAGTAAGAGATTCTTCTCCAGCAAGTAATACAGTATATTTTATCTGAGCCAGCTATACTTTCTGTTTATCCTTTATCTAAAAATGGCCTCAAGAAATTTAAATGGTGAGCCCTGAGGATGGTGGGATTTTGAGCCATTTGCACTCATGAAATATAAGGCCTCACTAGTAACATTTAATTGTTTATTAAAAAAAAAAAAAAGCTACTTTTCTGGCTATGTTGAAGTGAGTGAATAGTGCTAAGTGGTTTTTAAAGTTTCTAATGTTTCAATTTGGCCTGTACTGTACAAATCTCACTATAAAGCCTTAATTTCTACCAAGAAATAAAGCAATATATTGGTAACTGATGAGAATGCAGCGTCATTTGCACTAAGTGATTAACTGCTAGTGAAAAAGAAAAAAATAACTATTTATAAAACTCAAAAAGTAGGTGAGTGATTGAGTGTATCAACTCATCAGGTAGGTAAATGTCTGTGAAAAGAGGGAAAAAAACTATTATGGATTATGACCTCGCCTATCTCTCTCTTTAAAATTTGATTTTCCTCATGTGGCTCTTCTTGACCCTGAAACATAATCAGAAACTGGAAGTGTAAGTAAAAGAAAAAACCAACATAGTAAAAAAATGTATTTGAATTTCAGGAGGGTCTCTGCATTGGTTTAAAGGCATGTTAACATATTTGATGAGGAAAGTAAGATGGAGTGACTGAAAGGATAGAGCACTTACTGGAGCAGTGTTCCCTTTTGCATGCTGTAGAAACTCTTCTCAGGGGGGCACTGGTGGAAAGTTAATAAAGGTAATTTTTCTAAGCCAAATATTTTTAAGTACATAGTCTTACATGATCTGAGTTGGTACTCTGAGACTGCTACTTGTTTCAAGAAAATTTGAACTTATTGATGCAGCTTGCCTGATTTGACTCTTAACCTTTTTTCCTATGTCTACTTCCAAAATGACAGAACCAGAAAATACTGGAAAAAAAACTGCACTGGAAAAAACTGAAATAGTGCATGTGGAGCTGAGTTTGCTGGAAAAGTTGCAAAGTGTGACTGATGTGTCTTCTAGTTTAGGGTTAGCAAAGACTATAAATTTCCTGAGTGAAAACATAGGTGATTCTTGAACCATAAAATTCAGGCTCAGGCACCGAGGCTTCTTCTGCTCTGCAATAGCATATGGTGATCTCATCAAAGGAAGGCAGCAATGAATCACATCAGTCAGGCTGGCATGTTGTTTATGTCTTTGGAATCATTTGTGTCCTCTGGAGAGGGGTCTCTTAGAAAAGGCACACCTAAACTAGCATGCACTGTGATTATAGCCAAAACTCTGTGTCTAGGTATTCATCCTTCCCTTGGCTTTTGTAAAAAGTAGAATTGTATTTTTCATATTAGCAGCATGAAACTGATGAGAAGTGCAACACTTTTGCCTGCTCAAGCTGTGCTCATCTGGCTTCCTACACAATGCAAAACAGCTTCTGTTGGATGTCTTGAACTCAGAACCGTGGTCCAGACGGAAACCTTCAGTAGTGGTTTATGTGGTTTCTCAAAACTTCTAGACTTTGAACTGAAAAATTAAAAAGATAGTAAAATATCTAATTTTAGCACTAGGCTTGAAGCAGGTCCAGACTCTTATTAAAAAGAAACACAGTGGTTATTTGGACTGCAGGCTGGCTGCCCCTCAGCTGCCAGGGTTAGTTTAGAGGGGAAAAGTTCCCTGGCAGAGTTGGTGCATGGCTCCTCTTCCCCCAGGGCTCCCCAGGAAATAACCTACCCTCAGTTTTTTTGTAATTTTGTCAGTTTAGCTGTTCATGCTGAAACTTCCCATGCTGGGCTTTGAAAATGTTAGTTGAAATGGTTCATCTGGTTCTGTAAATAAAGCTGGAGGAAATGTCATTTTGCTCATGTTAAACTCCAGGTGACCTTTCCTTTGAAAATGGTCCATTGCTCTTCATCTCCTCTAAGGCCTTCAGAGTGAAAGCGTGAGCCTTGCCAGGAGGTCAGCTTTGGGACAAGGATATGTCTTCCTGATCTCCCAGTAAGTTTCACCTAAATTTAGTTGCATTACATGTCTTTGAATATCTCCAACTCTGTAACCAGGGAGAAAAGGGACATGCTCAGATCTTTTGGAGCTTGTCGTCTGGCAAGGCTGAGATTTGGCAAAGCTAAGAGACGTTTATCACTCTGGCAGTGTGAAGGAGGAAATGACCTGAATTATATGGAAGCTGCCTGGAAAGTCGGGACAGGGTTGAAAGATGGGGTTTTGAGAACTGGGACAAGAGGGATGAAGGAGATTTCCTGGGCAAGGGGGACTGGGACTGAGACGACAAGATATTGAATGATTTTCAACAAAGAAACCGGGACTGGGGTTAAGAGAGGTGGGTTTGTATCACTGGTTGAGCAGGGAGAGTTGGGCCAGAGGAAGTAAATAGTGAAGAATGAAGTTTGGGGTAGGAAGAGAAACATGAATAAAATTAATTGAACTTTATTTAAATACACAGTACACTGTGCAGCAGAGTGCACAGGCTCTGAGAAGGGCTTACAGACTGTTTCAGTGAGGATGCCTCAAGGTTGAAATCAAAAATAAAGTAGTAATTTTGCATCTACTGCATCCAATATTTGCCTTTATACACACACACACACACATATATATATATATATATATATATATATATATTCTTTTTTTTTTTCCTGGGGCCACAAAGTCTTTACCAGCAGATGTATATAGCTTTTACCAGTATATGAAGGTGTGGGAGACTGTCAGCACCACTGTGTTTTTCCTGCCTTTACACCTTTGTGTGAAATAGCCTGGTGAGAAGAACAAGGAGGGCGGGTTTGAAAGGTCTGTTCATCTTTGGAGCTGCATTTCAGCAGCACGAGCTGCTCAGCTTTGCTAAGGTGCAGCCACCAGTGCGGACCCAAACTTATGCCATTTTTGTGGACTGTTAAAGGGCATAATAATCAAGGGTTCAAGTTACTGCCAGGCAGCAGACATCAAAAGTCAGACTTAGCCTAACAAAAATACATTTGACTGAACAGCATTACTGCATGCTATCAAACAGATTAAATCAATTTTTTCCGTTAAATATCTGAGGGATGTTTATTTTCATGCACCCTGCCACACAGATTCCAAGCAGGTTTTTCCTCCATCTTTGTCTTCTGTGAAAACTGGATAGAAACATCAGGTCATTATTCCCTTGTCCTCTGGATGATCACAGGGGCACAACTGAGATTTAAACTAGTCAACAGAAATATTTTCCAAGTAGGCTCTGCTAATGCAAATTTTAAAATATTATGAGTGCAACAATCCAGTTGGCCATAGATATGTTATATTAAGCCAATATAGAATTTACTGAACAGGCGTTGGAGGAAGAACCAGAGGAACCAGAAGGAGGGATCTTTTAAAACAAATAACCCCCCCAGGCTTTAATAAATTACTCTGGTACTTTTAATGCAGAACAGAAATCTTAGCCATTCCTTCTAGCACTAAAGCTACTGTGTTCTTTGGATTAGAATAGATTAGTTTTCCTTTGTTTTTTAAAGAAACATTGCATGCTGTAGCCTCAAGCTCACACAAATGGTAGAAATGGAAAAAGTCATCTTGCAAAGTGGAGAAAGAATGCTGAGAGGGATCTGTGCCAAAAGGAATTAATATTTTTAACAGTTTCATGTTTCATTGTCTATCTTTGATGGCCCTTAAAATAGGTTTTTTTAAAACAAGTAAATGGCTATTCTTGAGATCTTTTCTTACTTCTTCAATATACTCCATTCACACAGTTGCCTCAGCAGACAGACATCAGAGCTTTGGAAAAATTGAATTTTTAGCTATGGAAAATAAGTGTAGCTAATGTATCATTTATAATTTAATTTAATTTAAGCATTATCAAGTTTTTTTTTCACATCTTAATCACCTGTCCTATAAAGGATATATCCCAAGACTTTATCAAGACAACTGCAAAAACATTTCTAAATATTTAGATCCAATTCTATTTTTCTGACACCCCAATTTTGCCCTATTTCTCTGTTCCTGGTTTGTTGTATGCTGTGAAAATACTTTCAAGAACTTAAACAAGGGCTTATTTCTGGACTTGAATAACATTCTCTTTGACTGCTCTATGGTCATGTATCTCATTGGTATCACAATTGTTGATGGGTCTTTTGTGGCATGACACTGCAGAGTGACTACCTGCATTTCAGCATGGAAGTAGAATGGACTAACACACGGTGTATGTGGCATGGCAGCTGTCAGAGCTTGCATTTTCGTGGGTGGTGGCTGCTGTGGGTCTTAAAATACTCACCCACAGCAGTGTCAGTATTTTGTAGTGATTTATTCCTTGACTACATGAAGCATCTTCTGTTTTATTTGGCATCAATGACAGGACCAAACTGGAACTATGACACCTGCTTTAAGGTAATAGAGTCATGACTTTTCCTCTATGATGTCCTTTCCTTTTTTCTTCTGCCCTCAAAGAGTTGCATGAGTTCCTGTGATAGTCTGATGTATTCCACCTCCACAGTCCTGGATAATTCAAATGATGGATGTCTCAGTATTAATAGGATGAGTAAGGCCATTTACTTGGCAGGCAATCCAGGTGATTAACTGAGGGGATTGACTACTAGTTACTCAGTGGCCAAGTCTTACTGATGTTTCTCAATGGAGGTGGGAAGTCCATGCACAAATGTCAGTAAATAGGATGCTTTCTGATGCTTTTTCTTAAGGGAATAATATGGAACTACAAGGTGAATCATCTGGGAGAAAGTGGTCTGCATAATCAAGCCATTAAAATTCTCTTTGTTAAAGTAGTGTAGCAGAAAATGATGTATACATCTACCATGATTTGTGTGGTCAGGTCACACCTCAGTGACGCTGCTGGGGCAGCACCACTGGGGTTTTTTACTCTCTGGCATTGTACTCCTGTACCTGAACAGCAGAGAAATTGCCCAGACTTTCTGTGTCTGTGCCCCAAGTGACTGTGAACTTTTGGTGTTTTGCTTTTTAATCTCCAACATCTTCCTGTCCTCCCTCTCTCTCTCAGCAGCTGATATTCTGGAGTCCATCCCAACAGCCACCTCTTTGTGGGAACTGGCCAAGAGCATCATCTGTGGTGCTGCCACCTCCCCAGCTGGGCTAACAGCTTCTCTCAGTGATGAAAACTGAATTCCTGCTGTTGTTCCCTCTGACATGTGGTTGCTTCTCCCTTTTCAATTCCTTGAGATTTGCTCACCACAAATAGCTCTCCCTTCACACAGCCCACGAGAGCAGTGGTGCCACCATGCTGGGACCTGCTGCATTTTCCAGAGAACCAGAAGGAAAGGAAAGTTCAAGCAAGCAAGCAAATTGCCAGTAATCACAGAGCCA